GGTTGTGTGTCAGCCTTCGGTTCCAAATCACTTGCAGATACTGGAGCGTATGACATTTGTGTTGGTTTTGAACTGATACCAGTAACATCCTGTTTGCCTCCTGTGGCTGAATAAAAGGATCCCATGGATCTGTTCAAAGAGGAACTCTTGGTATCCTGACCAACACTTATCCCTGTTCTCATGTCAGTAAAGCACATGAAGTGTCTGCGTGATAGCGGTGATTATACTTCAGAAGTGTTTCAGTGGTGGTAAAGGACTTTGAGGTGTCCTGTGGTTGTTATGGCACCATAAGAAAATCTAAATTCTTGTGTTTGAAAGTTAGCTGATAGGCTGCCTTAATTCAAGCAGCTGTGCTGCTGGTTGTTTGCGTTCTGACCCATCTCATTTCTCATTGAAAAATACCACTTTATATCCATTTGAACAAGTTAGTGACTTGTGAAATATAAGTAGCTTTCTTGGACAAGATTGGGAACAGATGCAATGTAGAATATGTTGTAAAAGTGGTTTAAATTTATTATTTTGTGACGTTAATAAAACTTATTTTTGGTTTGCATCAGCTGTAAAGAGATTTGTATTATGAAATATGCTAGTAGCAGTTTCCATTGTTTAATAAACCTAAGTCATATTTTCCAAGCCTGGGAAGGAGAGGAGATGGTGAAAAATTTCAAAGGTGCTTGGAAATTAGTTATCATGGAGACCATATTAATAATAGAGCCAAAGGCTACAGGGAAAAAGAAAGTCATCTGTTTTACTGTTATTGTCTTAAATTTTCCTTCGCTATATTAATCAAATTCTTTTGTTACCAGGGCAATAAGCCATGGGTTTCGCTGCCTCGTGGAAAGGGTATCCGCCTCACCATTGCCGAAGAGAGAGACAAAAGACTGGCTGCAAAGCAGAGTAGCAACTAAATGTTTGAGAAATGAACAGTGGTTGTACCACCCCCATGCAACATTAAAAAAGGCTTTCTTTATATACACTACTGCGTAGACTTTATTTTGCTTTGCTTCACTGCCTTCATTTACAAAATGCTGTCAATATCCTATCCTGGTTTATGCCGAAGGGATGTGTTTTGAGTTTTCAGAATAGGGACTGTACTAATAGACATTTTAATAGAATTGGTATACTAACTGAAAAATATCATTTGGGGAGGCCTAGAAATGAAATTATATAGCACGATTGCAGTAGATATTTAGTGACAGCCAGTTATAATTTTGTTTTCCCTTGTTACACTTAATCACAACTGAGTTAGATTGGACTTGATGGAGCCCCAGTGGTTAGCACTGCTCTGTCACAGTGCCAGGGACTCGGGTTTGATTCCAGTTTTGGTGACTGTGCAGCGTTTGTATATTCTCCCCATGTCTGCGCAGGTTTCTGCTATAATCCAAAGATGTACAGGTTAGGTGGGTTAGCCATGGTAACTGTGGGATTACGTGGATGGGATGGGCAGGTCTGGCTGGAATGCTCTTTGGAGGGTTGGTGCAGACTTGATGGGCAGAATGGTCTATTTCCGCAATGTAAAGATTCTGTGATTCTTGGTCTCACTTGGGCCCAAACAAGGGGCTGGTGTTTAAATACAAGGCTACACTTTGTGTTCAGAAGTTTCATCTTTCTACACTCCCTAATATTGCTGATAATGAAGGCCTCCCTCGCCTGCACTAATTGAGAGAAATTAACATCGATTTGGGCTGGAATCAAAGTAGCTACTTTGAAGTGACAGTGATCTGAGTCAAGCCCTGAGGTCGGAGGAATTTTAAAAGCAAGTAAAAATGCTTTTTTTTTTCAAAGTTTAATGGAATTGCTGTTTTGAAGTTCACTGCTTATTTTCAGTGAGGGGACGAGTCACCATTTAGAACCCAGTTAATGCAGAGGGCCATTACCTTCCTGGCATACTGTGGGAATTGGAGCAGTAAGTCTGGCTCAAAAACAGAAGTTGCTGAAAAAGCTCAGCAGATCTAGCAGTATCTATGAAGGAAAAATCAGAGTTAATGTTTTGGGTCTGGTGACCCTCAGAGCTGTAGGTATGGCCTTTTGGATTCTACCTGAGCACCTGAAAGCATATGTCTTGAAATGGTGCTGTATCCTTAGAAACTAGGCTGTTGGATAAATAGCAGCCCACACAGAAGGGCAAGGTGGTGGGTATGCAGAGGCCAAAGAGGGGCGCAGTGGGAGATATCAGCCTGAGTACGAGAATCTACAGGCAAAGGAGAAGAGATTTGCTGATAACGGAACCAGTACCAAAAGTGATGGCAACCCGTAAGTGGATGTGATAGATACATGTCTCTGAGGTATGTGGCATCTGCGCTCAAATATGTCACTCGGGTGACAGGTGCCCTTTTTATGACAATGGTGAATGCACCTCATTACAAGTGAATGGGGGCTTAGAGTGTTGGTGACATCAGTTGTTCCTCTGCAATACCCTCCTAAATAGGCCTGAGTTGTTGTGATCTGCTTCTCTTACCATGAAATGGCCCAGGAGAGAGCTGTGGAAAGACGAGCGATGAGGATGACAATGAGTTGTGTAGACGGATGTAAACAAGTTGAGTGAGTGGCCAAAACAAAACTTGACAAAAGAATTACAAGAAGAAGATGAGGTTATGCACTTTGGAAGGAAGAATGAAGAAAACATAATTTAAATGGGGAAAGATTGCAGAAGTGGGATTTGGGAGTGCTGGTCCATGAATCAAAAATCTGAAGTCCAAGTTCCATGTGTAATGGGAAGAAAATGGAATGTTGGCCTTTACTTCAAAGGGAATGAAATATAAAAGTAGGGAGGATTTGCTAAAACTGCAAGATGCTAATCAGACTAAAGCTGGATTAGTATGAACATTTTTGGGTCTCGACTAAGGGAAGATGCACAGATATTGGAGGCAGTTTAGAGAAGATTCATTATGCTGATATGAGGCAAGGCAGGATCCTCATGTGAGGAGAGGTTGAGATTGGGCCTGTACTCTTTGGAATAGAGAAGAATGAGAGGCAACCTAAATGAAACATGATTCTTAAAGGATGTGACCAGGTAGATGTAGAAAGGTTGTTTCTCCTTGTGGAAGAGTCGGAATGGGGACATAATCTCAAAATGAATGTTGTACATTGAGAGAGGAAGAATTCACTTGGTTTTGAATCTATGGAATTCAATACACAGGGTTGTTGCGGTTGGGTCACTAATGAGACTGGAAATGAACGTTTAGCAAAATGTAAAGAGAGGCATTAAAGGTGAGGGAGATGATATCGAACATAGAAATGCTCTGTGGTATGATGAGATGGCCTATGGCACTTTGGGAGAGGCTCCCTCATTGGTGCTCAGTATATTATCTCCCATCTTGAATACCTGTGATGCAGTGGTAGACTTTAGCACAAATTATCCATAAGGATAGTAGTCACTGTGAAGATTGCTTTGAATATCTGCAACCTGTCCCAGTTCCTACCTCCACTTGCTTTAATTGGTCAGCAAACCTGTCTTCCCTATTAATTTGCAGCTTGGAAAAATCTGAATCTGTTTGACAGCAGACGTCAGTTTCTGGCGCAAAAATAAGCCCAGCTCTATATGTGTCTCCAAGAGAGAAATCGGGCTGAAGAATACTGAACCCCGGTGATACTGTTTGATTTTCTACTTTCCCACTATCTTCTTGGGAAGTAGTCACTCTACCAAAAATCTAAAAAGTATAGCTTGATGTTTATGGATAAAAATGCTCCTAATCTTGCTCTAGTGCATGGAGGGAATGACACTTGCCAAAGGGGAGCAATGGAAAACTGGTTGAGAAGGAGCAAAAGCTGATTTGGCCATTCCTTCACTTAACGCCCTGGAATATGAAAATACAGTACAGAAGTATTGGGAAAACAGCCTGATCCAGAGGCCAAAAAGTAGATAGGAAGAAAAGGTACCAAATTCCAAACTAATGTAATTGTGATTCACATCAGCTGATATAAGGTTGTAATTTGTCTGGTATGCGAGACTAAACAGATTCTAAATTATGATGGTCTATTTTGATTTTGCATTCAACATGCTAAATGTTTGGCTTTCACTCTTTCCAATGGTAATAAATTCACAGTTCTGAATATGTGACAGGATTCCATGTACGAGCCTACTTCCAAATTTGTAACATTGCTAGACTTATGAACCCAGCTGATGATAATACTGGATAAGTCAAAGCCTAGATTGAAGCCTTATTTGATGAATTGTAAATTGATTTCTGTGAGACTGCCAACACTCTTTAACAAAGAAGTGTAAGCTTATTACACAAGAGAAGAGAAACTTATCACTTCTTAAAGAATCCAAATTGTATCAAAATTTCTCCTTGCCATTATTTCTGTATGAAATTCAGTCATATACTTTAAATGTAGGGATTTTCATAACAATTATTCTCTACATAAGCCCATTTTGATCACTTCATTCAACTTCAGTCATATTTCCTAATGACAAAGAATCTGCTACAGTTTTGTCCTTGCCAGAGACATGACTGTTTTGTAAATTGTATGGTTGTAGTATCAAACTCTCCAAAAGATCATGGTCCATATAAGTAAGTCTCTTCAGAGTTATCAGTACGTAAATTTCAAACGTTTGTAGAGCTGATTCAAGACTGTGTTCAAACATTTTTTTGGCCACTTCCCAGCGATCTTTTCAAATGAGGTGAAATATCTTTCAAATTCAACTTAAGTAAATTTAGGCACTAACAATTATTTCTATTTAAAATAATTCCCTCACTGGAATCAGAAGCATCCACTGAGCTCCTCCTCTTCATTCGTCCTTTACTCGTAAGTTTTTTTTTCTCCAGTGGAGTAATGATGTCATATATTTGTATCTCTTAGTAGTTCAAGACTTTTTAGTTCATTTCCCTTTCCTTTGTACTTTGCCGCTCTCATCTCTTTTCCAATTTAAGCTTTTATATTTCCAATTCTCTCTTCCTTTCTTTCTCCCTCTTTTCTATTGCTCTTTTTATTCCCTTTCCATTGTATTTCACTTTTCATTTCAATTTAAGTTTTAATTTCTCTTCCTCTCTCTCTTGCTCTAACACAAGGTTTTTCATTTCTAACTGGATCTCGGCTAATTCTAGCAGAAACATCTCAATTTCAACTTCTCCTTTTTAATTCTAAATTCTAGGTAATCACTTGAAGCATCACATCTTTGTGAGATCTTGCTTTTATTTTGAGCTTCGCTAATTCTGTGTAGTCATAGTCTAACATTTCAAAGAATACAATCTTTTTCCCATCTTACCAAATTTAAAGTCAGTCCAAAAGTCCAGCTTATTTAATATACTTAACAGCAATTCTTGTTTTTATGTTTGATGCCCTCAGGTATTCATTACTTTAGAAGGTTCATAGGTTCCTCTTCAACGGAATTCCATTATGCCAAGAGCCTCCATTTTGTTCTGATCCCAGCTGGTGGTAAAAGTGGATGGTTCAGTTCTCAGAGTATATTTAATAGGTCACAAATGTAATTATTGTACTTAATTACTATGGTGATTTGTCACTGAATAGACCCACACATGGCTGGCCTAATGCTCTTTAACAAAAGAGCACAGCTTTGTTACACAAAAGGAGAAAAAAAAAGCAAACAAGACTATCAATTTAGAAATATCATATTAGAAAAATAAACAATTCAACCTTTTCCCCAGCAATATCCTTTTCAGATTCTCAATCCCAGTGTAGCATCACTCCTACTCAAACTTTGTAGTTTCCTACTTAACTGACTTTTCAGTTCTAATGGTGAATCTCCTCTGCACACCCTCCAGTGCAATCACATGCTTCCTATGGTGACCTGAACTGTACACTTGACTCCAGCTCTGGCCTGACCAAAGTCCTGTACATTTCAAATATAATCTCCTTGCTCTTATAATCTATAAGTCATTTGATTAAAGACAATCATACCATATACCTTCTTGACTCCCTATTAACCTGACCTGCCACATTTAGGGATGTGTGGGCAAGCACCTGTGAGCTTCCTAATGACCTGCCATTCACTGAATACTCCTTTGTCTTGTT